AGAGTCCTGTGTGCCTGCAAATCCTGCCTCGCTATTGGCTCTTTAGCTTTTTGTTAAACCAATCAGAATGGCACATCTTTACCGTGTACAAAAAGATGATTTCGCAACCGGTTCCGTTTATTCTACCAGAGCTTCGTGTAAAGCAGTTTTTTCTTTTACAGTCTTTCCTGAATATCCCTATACTTCTAGCCCTTTCCCTGTTTACGCATCCTCCATATAACTTTATCATCCAATTAAATAAGTGTGTGCTTGTTTTTTGTCTTATTGCTGAAAGGGCACACGTTTAATGGATTAGAACAACCACACTTCCTCGTCATAGTCCTGAGGGTGTGAGGTCTAGTTCACAGGGATCCTTTCTCTGTGCAAGGATCCCAAGAGGTCACTGCCCTGGGCCCTTATCTGTAGGTTCTGACCTAGAATCAGAGTGTAGGTTCCTCTTGGTTGTTGACATGATTAAGGATCAAGGCTAAGGTTACTGTTTACATAATACCGGTTAGCTGTGTCCCTTGCATTCCAGAACTTGTCAGGTCACCTTCAAAGCCAGTGAGGCTAATCCATTCTCTCTCTGTCTCTCTGGCTGTGCCTTTCTATTGGCGTCTTTTTAAGAGGATTTTTGCAATTGCATTGGCCCCTTTGGAAAATACAGGAGTGGTCTTATCTTTAGGTCACCCATTCAACAACTTTAATTCTATCTTTAAAGTCCCTTTTGTGACACACTGCCAAACACATTTCATAGGTGTAGCAGCTGGAGTAAAATTCCCAGCAAGTTTGTGGTAGACTGCTGATCCCAATGTAGTTTCTTATTTTGTCATTTCCCAGGTGAGGCTGTGGGTGGGCACAGCTCTCCACTGTTTGGTCTCTCCAATTTAGGACACTGCCCACCACATAGCAGACATTTAAACATTTGTTAAATGACTGAGTGACAAGGCTGGGCATGTAGTCTTGCCCTTTTTTTCAGAGCTGAAAGCCAGCAACATTGATTTTTAGTTGGTAGGTTTGTTTGTTTGTTTGTTTGTTTTGAAGCAAGGCCTCTCTGTGTGGCCCAGGACGGTTTGGAACTCAAGTCTACCCTGCTTTAGCCTCCCCAGGCCTGGGATTACAACTATGCACCATGCCCCACATGACTTGAATTCTCAGTGTGGTGTTTTGCTGCCCATCCCTCCCCATACCACCATTATGGTTAAGAGGATTGATAACACAAAATGTCATATTTTCATGTAGCCTGCTAGTAGATACAGAGACACGTCTGGAATACTGTGCCCTAGAATGCCAAGAAACCTAGAAGCTGTTAGGTCAGCGAACTCCCTGTACTACCCAACCAAACACGTGTCCAGTGCTTTCTCAGAACAGGGCTTCTCAGGACAGTAAAACTAGGCATTGAAAGGTGGTATTGTTTGGCTCAGTTTAAAAGAAAAAAAAAAGTGACTTCATTTACCCATGCCAGTTGTCTAATGAAACTTTTAGAAATGTCTTAATGAATCAACTAGAGTTTGCTAATATTTCATTGTTCTGCATTATACAGATAGTTTGGGTTCTGGGGTCTTGAGATTTGAGAGTGTATGAAAAGTGAAACTCAACAAATAACAGATTTGCTATTTGGGTTACAGTGTGGAAAAAAATCTCTGGAAACAGATTTATATATTAGTTTTTTACTTTGCCACCAGATGTCCTCCGAGTAGGAAAATATGATGGTCTGAATGACATTTGAAGTGTGAATGCCCAGCATTTTTGAATAGACAGTGAGGGGAGAGTGTGAGGGAATGTACACGTGACCACAGACTTTTGGATGAGACACATATTTTGAAGTTTGCCTTACAGGTGTAGCTTTCAGAAGAAATATTTATTTAACACTCAAATGTTCGTTTCTCGTACTCAGTAAACATTTACTTAACATAGTTTCTTTTCACTGAATCCCAAACTGGTATTTTTAAAATGTGAGTGAGTTTATTATATTTTGGAATTGATGTTAAACTCCTCCAACTTTGTGCTAATTATAATGATGAAAGTTTAGTATTTCGAATGGAGCACCCAGGGACTGGAGGAGGGGAGAGCTGAGACTTTTAAACACCATAGCCAAATCCAGGACTTTTATGTTGAATTCTGAAGGCAACAACTTACAGCTTTAGGGAAGGTGATGTAATACGAAATTAAAGACAGCACTTGTAGTGTATTGAGGATTTTTTGTTTATTTGTTTGTTTTTGCCAAGATAGGGTTTCTCTGTGTAACTGTCTGTCCTTGGACTCGCTCTGTAGTCCAGGTTGGCTTCGAACCACCAGTCTCTGCCTCCTGAGTGCTGGGATTAAAGGGGTGAGCCAATACCACCCAGCTACTTGTAGCTTATTGTTAATGAGGTAATCCACGGGGAAGTATAGAGTATTTAATGTATTTAATAAATAAGCAGTATTGTTTCAAAACAAGAATGTTTGACATGGTAAGTTAATAAGCAGTATCTTTTCAAGCCAGAAATTATTAGGCCAAGTGTGTTATAAACATGCATGTCTCCATACTATATAAGGAACGGTTTTGAAAACCTTCATTTTAAAGAATTTCTGTGAATTATTCTGTGAGCCAGTGAGGCTTCCCACCCTGTCCCTGGTATCACTGAATGTGTGGAACAAATTTGTGCTTTATGGTGAGGCCATCTTCACTTCTTCACGAAGTGGGGCAAGGGTGGGACAGACAACCTATTTCCAGAGACTGAAGCCATCTGCACGAAATGTCAGCCAAGCAGCCAGATGTTTGCTATGGGTTGGCTCTCTCCATTTGGCTTCTTGATGGAATTCCTCCTCTTTCCCCCCATATGCTTGAGAGAAGCTCACAGAGAACTCAAGGAAGCTTGTCTGGGCTAACAGATGAAGGGGGCAGTAATATTTTGATGTCCTGCAGGGGGCGGAGTGACCTGTGATTTTCTCCAAGTGTTCACAGCTTCCAGTGAATTTAGAAGCCAGGCCTGCTCAAGTCCCTTCACCTGCACTCTGCATGCACCTTAATCACACACACACACACACACACGCGCGCGCGCGCGCGCGCGCGCGCACTTTGTTCACTCCTGGGACCTCTGGACCACATGAGTCTCAGATGGGGTGTGGTCGGGAAAAGCAGGGAGTGGGAGGGACACCAATTAAGGGTCCCTCTGTACCCTGAGGTCCAGTTGACTTAGAGAAACTGTGGTCCCACTTTGGAGCCATGGAAATCTTAGGATAGTACCTCTTTATTCATCCCCTCGAACCCAGATAGACCCAAATGCTTGCCTGCCTCAGCATATTGGACATAGGAGAACACATATCTTTTGTGACCCTCAGTTGGACATCACTTTTTATGACTGCCCATGTCACAGCTTTTTTTTTTTTTTCAGGCTTCTTCCTACCTACCACCTGAATGCACCCCCAAAACACCCTCTTATTCTAGGTTTTATGAGAACAGAGTCCCTCTTGGTAGGGGTGGGGAGCCCATGACAGACCTGCATTAGGGGTGCTGTTGAGGAGTGTGGTTGATAATGCTTCACTGTTATTTTAGACTCACAGCAATCAGATCCCCTAAAAGGGGGGGGGTCAGTATAGTGTAGCCTCCACGTATGTATCCACACTAGGCTTAACTCCATAGTCATACACCCCACTTTTGTGTTTTCAATGGCACAGCCCTCAAGGTTTATTTACTCATTTGTTTCCCTATTACTTTCAAAGATTTCAGTGCTGTCTTCTCTGCTCTTATAACTTGAGCTTTTTTTTTTTTTTTTTTTTTAATCCCACATGTGTCTTGTTAGACCTCGTACGGAACAGGTATGGCTGAATCTGTGCAAGGAGGAGGGCCTCAGCTAGAATCCTACCCTGGACTTCAGATCTTCTGAGTGGAGCTCCTGGCCTCTTGGGCCACACAGCAGTGATTTTATACTTGTATGATGTCCTAGACAGAAGAAATGGTGCAGGCCTTTGGTTTCTCAGGGTCCTGGCATGCTAAATCAAGTATCAATGATCTAAAATATTTCAGACCATGTAAACTAAAACTGAAAGTCAGTGAAGTTTTTGTTTCTTAATCCTTACATTCTCCTCAGGTGTAAGACTCTAATGTTTACAGTTGATTTTCTTTTACCATCCACAGATGGGCTGGCGTTTGAATAGTGTAGAAGGAAATGAATTTTCCTCTTTATTGGTAAAAGATGGTGTTGGAAGCAGCCCCGGTTTGCTCAACCTGTGTTCAGGACCATGTTTATTATCCTGGCCATTTTCTATACTTTCCAGGCCTCTGACACTATCTTTACTACCCTCTTTACGTTTTACCTGGCACGGTGCAATTTATATTGTATTTCAGTACATTAAAAAGCAATGCCAACTGACAAACTGCATTGAGAGATTAGCAAGAACACAGGACAGGCTTTCCTAGCAGACTGGGAGCCTCTTTCATTTGGGTTTTAGTTTAAGAAGCCAAACGCAGCTCAAATGAAGAGATAAACTGAAATACCGGACTGGAAACCTTCAGGACTCTAATCTCTAATCTGGCTTGTCTTCGGCCCTCTCTGCAAAGAGTGTGTGAGCAGCTTCCTCGCAGGGTGTGTCTTAACTTACAGCAGCTGCCTTTGAGAGCCACGTGTCCGCTAAACGCCTACATTCCATCAATAAGAGCAACCAAGGAGGGAAGGAGAAAACTGTCATTATTTTCTCCCTCGGTAACTGCATGGATTAAATAACAGTGTTTACTTGTATTTAACACAACTTGACCTTTGACGAGGTGGTAGCAGAGAAAGGTTTAGTTTGGGGTCGTGCTCAGATCTTTCTTCCTAGCGATGACCTCTTTACCTTTCCTACCCGCCCAAGCAACTCCTGGTGCCTCCAAGAATTCTCTGTGCTAGAAACCTACGCGCAGTGGCGGAGGCGAGGCCTCCGGAGAACGGAGGGGGAAAGAAGGGGTGGGATTATGTAAATAGCCAGCAAGACTCGTCTCTCCATTGGATGATAGCCTGTCCGTTACCAAGAAGGGCGGGGCGTTCCTGGGCTTGAGTGCGGTACCTGAGCAAGACGCGCAGCAGAAAGCCCACGTTGGCGGCTGCCGGGAGTGTTGCGCTCAGAGGCGGGAGACTGCGAATTCCCCAGCCGACGCCGCAGCCTCTGCTCCGCGCTCGGGTCCTCTTCTCTCCCATCGCCTTGGAGAGCGAGATCCTCCGGGTACCCGAGAGACCGAAGAGCGGAAAGCGAGATCCTGGCCGCCTCCACTTGGGGAGCGTGTGGAGATTCCGAGGGGGAGCGACGGTGCCCGAGGGCGGAGGGGCACTGAGTTTCGGACCATAGGGAAGTTAAAGCTGCGCAGGCAGAGAAGACTGGCTTTTCAGGACGCGGGGTCGCCACAGCCCGGGACCCGCGACAGGGTAAACTTCACGATCGTCCTACAAGTCAGGAGGGACGTGCGCAGGGATGGTGCCTGATAACACCCCCAGCTCCTGAGTTGTTGCCGCGGGTCCCCCTTGGCCAGCCTCCTGCAAGGGCACAGGACAGCGCACGTGTGCGGACTGCGAGTGACCGCGCCGTGACCCGTCCAGGGGTGCCGGCTGTAGAGCAGTCCTGCCTAGGACACACCTGGCTCAGCCCGTGCGCCTCCAGGGACCTGCGGGAGAGTGGAGATCCTGGCCATCGCCCCTTCGCTTCTCCTCCGCCTGGGCTTCTGGGGGCGCCGCGGATGACCATGAGAGATAAGGACTGAGTGCCAGGAACGGGAAGAGAGCCCGCCGAGAGGTGGCGGGGGCTGCCCACACCAAGGGCCACAGCCGCCTCGCTCCAGCCTCGCTCCGCCGCTCGACGCCTCGCGTGGCTCGCCGGGGCAGCCGGGCTGGGCGGCGATGCCCGGGCTGGGGCGAAGGGCGCAGTGGCTGTGCTGGTGGTGGGGGCTGCTGTGCAGCTGTGGACCCCCGCCACTACGGCCGCATCTGCCGGTAGCCGCGGCCGCCGCCGGGGGGCAGCTGCTGGGAGCCGGCGGGAGCCCGGTGCGTGCCGAGCAGCCGCCGCCGCAGTCCTCTTCTTCGGGCTTCCTCTATCGGCGGCTCAAGACCCACGAGAAGCGGGAGATGCAAAAGGAGATCCTGTCGGTGTTGGGGCTCCCGCACAGGCCGCGCCCCCTGCACGGCCTCCAGCAGTCTCAGTCCCCCGTGCTCCCGCAGCAGACTGCCCGCGAGGAGCCCCCTCCAGGGCGGCTGAAGTCCGCTCCGCTCTTCATGCTGGATCTCTACAACGCCCTGTCCTCCGATGACGAAGAGGATGGGCTGTCGGAGGGAGACAGGCAGGAACCTGGGCCCCACGGAGGGGCCAGCTCGCCTCAGCTCAGACAGCCGTCTCCAGGCGCTGCACACTCCCTGAACCGCAAGAGCTTCCTGGGCCCGGGGCCCGGCGCGTCCCCACTGACCAGCGCGCAGGACAGCGCTTTCCTCAACGACGCGGACATGGTCATGAGCTTTGTGAACCTGGGTAAGGATTTGGGGTAGTGTCACGCCGAGAGCAGAATCCCTCCTTTGCATTCTCCCGGGGGTCAAGTGGTAGGAAGCCCTGGAAGAGTGCGCGGTGGGGATGCGGGACAGCCGGCGCTTCTGCCACCTGCGCAGCGGAGGGGAGGGAGTGCGCTCCGCTGCAGCGGAAGGGGCTAGGGCGCGCAGCGGTGCCGGCGGAGGCTGTCTTTTTGGGGGAGCTCGGGACACTTGCCCTGTATTCTGACTCCTGCCAAGCTCGGGCTACTTCAACTCAGTTCTGGTCCGAGTGTGGTCATCATTAGTAAGAGGATGCCCTTTGCACCCTTTCTCCTCTGAACTGTCTTCCTCTGCCCCCTGGGTGGATGCTTCGGGTGCCACTTTACCCACCTTGACCATCAGGGAACCCGACAGCGGCTGAGAACTTTGAGGACCTGATGAGAGTGTTTTACAAGAAACTCACAGGTGTTGAGGAAGGAGGGTTGAAGAAGGTCCCACAAGACCGTGGAAGGTGCCCCAGTCCCAGCCAGGCGGGGCTTGCGTCAGTGTGGGGCGAGATTCCAGCTCAATTGGGGTAATCCACCCAATGCCTGCGCTCTCATGCCCTTGGCTATTATCCCAAAAGGCTGACCCTTTAATCAATGCTGCCCAAGCTGCTGGGGTGCAGGGTAGGGGCCAGGGTTGGCCGCTGAGCTCTACCGAACACCGTTGCCAGGCAACAGAATGGAAAGTCGAGGGCGGCTAAATTGGGCTCTGCCACAAATGTTCTGTGGCAAACTCGGACAGAGTCACGTCCCCCCTCTCCCCCCTGAAGTTTTCTCTCATTTGTAAACAGAAAAGGGGGTAAGGAAGACTGCTGAGTCAGTACTTCCGATTCTCGCTAGACTTTTTTTTTTCTTCTTCTTCTTCATAAACTTAGTATAGTCCAGGAATGTAGGAGGCAAGTCCCCGGTGGGTAGACCGAGGGAAGTAGACACGCCCAGAGTGGGTGCAGCCATTCCCAGCCATTCCCAGCCATTCCTGGGTCTTTGTGGGCTTTCTGTCTCTGGGGAGACGCAGGCCTGTACCCAGGCCCCAGAGTGGGGTTAGCATGAACATGCCAAAAGGATTGCAAGGCCTGTCGGAGACATCTATCATTTCCAGGTAGTAGCAGTTTTAGGAATGACTCTGATAAATATCTGATTGAGTTCTTTGCAAGTGTATCTAAGATTCTTAGTTGTGCCCAGGGGGAGCGGGTGTGTAGAAGGAAGGAGTAGCAATCAGGTGGAGCAGGGAGTCTGGAGGCAGAGGCATCCAAGTCGTACGAAATCCCCCTGGGAGTATGTGAAACAGAATCTCACAGGGCCTGCCAACCTGGCTACTTGGACTGCCAGGGGATCTGATTGGACACAGATTCTCAGTGTATTGGAGTCAAGTTCAAGCTACCCTCAGGAAGCATTCTAAGGAAATTGTCTCTCGTGCCAGTCAGTATAACCTGGTGATGGTGGGGTGGTCAGGACTGCGGAGAACTAGCGTTGCTCTTATTCTTTGATTTCATGATTTCCATTCCTGCTCTCTCCTTCAGTCCCTCCTTCCTCTAAGTTTCCTGACTGAATTTTACATGACATGTTTTATTGCCATTTGGGGGGGGGAGGGGGGGAAGTCCTAAGGTAAAGTAAAGCAAAGCTGGTTCCAATGACTCCTCTCAGAGCATCTTGTTGGACTTCTGTGGAAGCAAGAGGTTTGTGCCATAGGCCTCACTCAGCCTTGGCTGCTAACCACCTTCGCGTCATGTTAGCACTATAAAGTGCTGTGGGGCTCAGGGCTGGTTTTATCCAGACCCAGAGATTGGCAGAATCTTGTGAGTGAGCTCAGGATCAGGTATCTTTTTATTTTTTAAAGTTCCTTAGATTTTTTTTTTTTTTAAGTGTGCTACCATGATGAAGATGTCTGGAGGAAATCATATGTCTGGAATAGATAAGAAACAGGTTTCTGAACACCTTAATGTGGCAAGTTAGAGTAACCTGCAGGCATTAAGACTGCCGGGTGGCACTGTGTTTCAGTTCAGTTGGCATGGGGAGGGTTGGACAGAATTTGGAAACTTTTAATCTTTTAAGTGCTGCCTCAATGACTCTTGATGGGGTTCAGAAACCATTGTTTTGGTAATTGAAATGCCAAGGTCTGGTTTGAGGATTTGTTAAGTGTGTGTGTGTGTGTGTGTGTGTGTGTGTGTGTGTGTGTGTGGTGACTTCCAAATTCCCCTCTTTCCTTGATTTTCTGACCTTTTGTGGTCTAAGGTGAACACAGCTTCTGAGTCACACTGTTTGAAGGTGGTTGACAACTAATTTTGTTATGTGAATTCCTAGCTAGTCTGAAACAGAACTGAAAGATACTATTCTTTGTCTAAGCCCCTTATTTCCCACCATGGGGCTCTCTGTGGTTACCCTTACTGTAGGTCCAGTTCTAGACTCCACAGGGGGAAGGGAGAAAAACCCTCTTCTAGATGGGCAGAATGCAAGCAGCAAGCATTACCACCTGCCAGTACAAAGCAGTTGTATTCATCTTAATCCATGTAGCAGTGGGAAAGACAGATTTCCCTAGACTAGAATAGCATAGATAACATCCGATGACTGTGGATGTGAACATAAGAAGGGGGATTTATCTGAGAGAAAGGCTTCTGAAGCTCAGCATTGTGGATTCCCTAAGGACCTTAGAATTCTGCAGATTTCCTAGTTGGTGTCAATGTCATGTTGAATGATGTAATTCATAGCTTATCTATTGAAGAACCTCCAGAACGATACATGTTACATCACTGTATGTTACCCACAGACTACGGAGGTTACTCATTAAAAGCATGAGGGAAAGTTACCCATCTCTGTAAGCATGCCTCTTCCCTGGGACTAGAGGAATAATTTGCTCATGAAATACATTTGAAACACCCTAGCTTTGTCAGCCAGCCCGTCTATCAGGAAGTATGAATCAACAGGATGAATCTCTCATAGCCTGAACGCTGGTCATTCGACCAGCTCATTGTTGTTGATGTTGACTATTCAAAATCCCATCTTGGAAACAGGCTGGGTGGGATGTGAAGGGCTGTCTGCTGTTGATGTGATGTGTCAGCTGAGTGTCTGGGTGAGCTTGTGAATTTATAGCAAATCGGGGCCACAGATGTCATTTGCTATTTGTTTTCTACTGCTCAAAATGTCTTGGCAGTCTACTAAGCAAGCCTGCCAATTTGGTGACCTTGGAGAGATATCCTGAAATATCCTTTAGGTCTTAGGTTAAAATTCCACCCTCCTACAAACACCTTCTTACTATATAAGCCCTACCATCTCCTTATCATCATAGCACCCTGGTCCCTTCCTTCCTCCTGCTGGTCACGTGGGATTTCTCTCTGTCTGTCTCTGTTTTGAAAATTGCTTACTCATTGTGTATGTACACTTTAGGATGTCAGCTGACATCACATGGATCCACCAGGATAGCCTAACCAAATGCTAAGCACACTGACAATGCTTCAAAAAGATTGAATTAGTGAAAATATAAACAGTACCCTATACTTTAAATTCCCACTCATCTGCAAGCCCTGATTCTTTAGAAAAGATACTTTGTAGTTGTGTGTGTGTGTGTGTGTTGTTTTACAAGACAGGGTTTCCTGGTGTAGCCCTGGCTGTCCTGGAACTCACTCTGTAGACCAGGCTGGCTTCAGACTCAGAGATTTGCTTGCCTCTGCCTCCCAGTGCTGGGATTAAAGTCGTGCACCACCACTGTCCAACTTGATTTGTGTTTAGTAGAATGCTTGGAGATATTTAGGACATTCCTTGAGGCATTTCATAATTAAAAAGTGCTTTATTAAGAGGCCTTTAAAATCAGTTATTCATGTATGCATTAATTTGTAATATCTACTTGTGTGAGAGTAGAATTGCTGCCTCTTTAAATATCCATACTTCAGGCTTATCTTGAATTAATAAGGTGTTGATCTCCAGATGCTAGGATCAAGTGAAATAAAAGGCTCATGACATGCTCGGAAGAGGGAATCAGTAAGTGTTAGTACAAGAAACAAGAAACTTATTGTACTGAAAATACTGGCAATCTTCTCAACAGAATCACTCCTGGGAAACATAAATTAGGAGAAAAATGGAATACTCCCTACTTGTATTTGTAACCAGAGACACTCTACTGTCTTTCCTTCATAAACAGAATCAGGACTACAGTTTTTCATCTGGGCTGCCTGTACTTATCAAGATTTTTTTTTTTCTTTTTTGCAACAGAAAATAAATTTGTTGCTGGTAAGCTATCCTCAGCAAAAGTAACTAGGGACAACTCAAAGAGTGTGGTCCAGGGAAGTGGTAATTATTTTCCCAAAGAGTTTTAAATGTGAAATTCAGTGGCATTTCAACAAAGAAGCTGGACAAAGTGTTTTTCAGCTGAGATCAAAGGGCAAGCAGATACCATTGTTTAGCCCTAAGATGGTGCTTCCTCTGGTTGTCCTTCTAAGAATGGGTATAAATCCTTTTTTAAATATGCTGAGTCATGCTTAGTTCCTCTGCCTGAGAACCTGCCTCTGATTAGGCAGAAGGAGGCTTTCCCTGGCAGTGGGAATCTTGGGCTAAGTGGGAAAAAAAAGGTGATGTTCCAGCATTTTCTTCACAAGTCATGGTTGCCTTGGGTCCCGGTGTCTTCAGAGGTCAGCTGCTGTAAATGTTGGATTTCATTTTCTAGGGCTGGGAATGGAACCTAGGGCCCAATGCATGCCAAGACCACCCTCTGCCACTGAGCTACACCCAGCCCCAAAGCAGTATGTTGTATTGATAAGGCTGGAGGCTGTGGATGATGTGCCTTGAGGGTGGTGGAAAAAGGTCTAAGGATGATGGGCTCACCCTGGGCTTACTCCACAGGTTAGGAAAGGAAAGTGGAGGGTGAGTCACCTTTCTGCTAGCTTTGTCACAAATCAGCCCTGCCCTCTGCTTTCCATTCACATCAGAAATGGCACTATTCTCGGAATGCATGTTTTACAACTTGATATAA